TGGTAACCAATACCAAAAGCAATACATAATACCAAAGTGTTAGTCCGAAAATAGTGATCTCGATAAAACCAAAAAACAACAGCCATAAAAGGCCAACCCACACTATCCTAAAGAAAACATGCAATCATCTATGTTGCAATATAAAGTTAAGTGAAGTTATCTTCTAGGATACATGTTTCTTATTTTGTAAATATCATATTGTTCAATCATAAGTTTTCGTAAAAAAATGAATAAAAAGTATTAAAAATGCCAAAAGTTCGTATTTGAGCAAATAATTTGTTACTTTTCGGAGTTCGCTACCTACTTTTATTTAAGAGATTGACTCTTCCTCACTCAGATCATGAGTATTATGGTATGTCACTCTCATTCAAAATAGGCTTCGTTTGGGATAATTTTCTTATTTTTTTGAAGTAAAATTTTAATATAAAAATTAAAATTTTTATACTAAAAAGCTGCTTTAAAAAGAAGTAAACAAGCCATCCCAAACAAAGCCTTAGTTTCTCTTATGTTTTGAATTATTTCATGTTTATGATATTGAGATAGCTTCCAAAATTAGGGTTGTAAAAGAAGTTTGACGTTCTTGAATAGCTCTTGTTTAGCTCATTAAGAAGTTCGTATTTGATTCATTTGTTAAAGAATTAAGTTTATATTTAATAGCTTTTTTTAACATCCTATGACCGGAAGCTGAGCCATTAAGTATTTAATATATAATATATATATATATATATATATATATATATAATAATATATATATATATATATTAATTAGTTTTTTATTTTTTTATTTATTAATTGAAGGATTAAATTCTTATAATAGTTGTCTTGTTTATTTAATTTATTTATTTTCTTGAAATCTGCTGTGTTTGGTTCGAATTTAAATGAGCCGGACTACGGAATGTGATATTCATGAACCAAACACGAATGTGATATTCATGAACAATTTTAAGAATAAGGCAATTTTGAACAAACAAAATATGAATATATTGCAAGTTTGCTCAATCTTGACTCACCCCTATGTAAAATTTCATAGTATTGCTTGGAAATGGAAGCTTGTACTTTTCTCTTAAACTTGTGATTAAGGTTTCGTTTGTGATGACATTTTTCATTGATTCTTAAAGCAATTTTTTAATTAAAACTTTTAATTTTTGTACTAAGAAAATTATTTTAAGAAGCAGTAAAAAAATCATCCGAAACAAAATCTAAATGACTTGCTAGTTGTTAACATCCATGTTACCTTGCAACGCCCAAAAAAACTAAAAAGAGTGTGTAGAAAATAAGAACAATGAGAAGCTTTCTCTATAACATGAGATTATTTATAAGCAAGTAAATATCACCAATTAATGAATATTTTTGTGTTATTTGAAAATTAGCTGAGTTGGGGAATAAATTTTCAAGGAGTCTCATTAAGATGTTTGAATATGCCTTTTTAATTAGTTTGTGTATATAGAATCCAAGATTTAAATTTGAAAATGTTCATACACTCAATGAATGTTTTATAAACAAAAAAAATTATCCATTATAACTTATATCAAGATAAGCCTAAATGTTCTTTAATTTTAATTGAGATTAGTGCTTGTATATGATATCATAA